CAACTATTCAGTTTTGATGTTAGAAAGGTGTTCAGTCTGCTCATCTAATCAGCGTACATTTACGTATGGAACAATTACATCTCACTCAAGAGTCCCTCTAGAGCCAAGAAAGCACCTGCTGTGAAGCAGGAGCAAAGAACAACAAACAGTTACTGGTTATGTGAAACGAACTACCTCAAATCCTACAGAGCTCTCTGCAGGGATGCTGTCATTCAGTCCAGTCTGCGTCACTAGTTCTGATAATCCTGTAAAGTTGTCTATAACTCACCTATACGTCTACCTTTTAATATTGTAAAGGTATGAGCTGAAAGAGCAGCTTTTCTCTTTGCACCATATTCTAGGTTCTACTCGGCTCAAACTGAACGTTATCAAAGATCAGAGAGATCTAAAATATTCAAGTTAGTTAACAGGTGAAGGTTTCCTTGGCTAACTGCATGATAATCCTGCTGAGCTGTCAGAAAGAACAAAAAAATACAAGTTCTTTATAAGCTGCTATATGAAAGTCATGTGGCTGCTACATTTTCAAACAAATTAATGAAAAAAACTTTTAGACAAGAATCTGAGTTTAAAATTGATTATTATCACTAGTTTCGCTATGTTGTAAAAATAATTTAATAATTTGGGTTTTGCTCCAGTATCTGTACTTGCAATTGCATTTTAACATGTCATTGCAACAAAACTTTATTCAGCTTAGTTGTTTAAACACTTACATTCATCGGTCCGTGATAAATTTCCGAACTCAACTGTAAAATAAGGTAAAAAACTTTGTCGTCTTTGTTTTTCTATTTAATTTGCTGACGGTGCCGTGTTTTTCAGTGCCATGTGATGCGCGCCACACTCATGTGGCCTTTGTTGGTCAGGACCTAGTTGTTAGGTACCTGGTGCCACGTTGGTGTATTTGTGTGCAACGCACATCGCGCCCCTGTGGCCTGTATTTTGTGTGGGTCCGTTACGGTGATGGTTTTGTGCGTACCCTCTGATAAACTGATATGGCCCACCCATTTTTTCTCAGGCCTGGCCTAAAATCAACTTCTGGCTATGCCACTGGTCTCTGCAGGCAGGCATATGACAACACGCTACTTGCAGTACAGGCAGAGCTTGCTTGTGACCAGTTTCTGCAGGCCCTCAGTCCTAAAGAACTTCGTATAGACTCAGCTCGCACATCCAGCAACACTCAGTGCTGCCCTAGAGTTAGCGCTGGAGAAAGAGGTGATGACAGGATCCACTGGAAGAGCTAAAGACCCACCAATAGTGAGGGCAACATCAGCACCTGCCGAGCAGCTGGAGAGACCAAGGGGGCCACTCCAGCCAGCTACCAGTCAGTCACCTGCTTTGCGGGTCGGTCCAGGCTGTCGACCACAGAGCTGCTGGGGATGTGGACAAGCTGGTCACCTCATCAGGCAGTGGCCCAGGTTTGCAGCGGTGCAGGAAAATGCCCAAGGGCCCGTGTAAGTTAAGTGGGAGTACACGGGCCTAGGAGACCAACACCCCCAGTATACCACTGTCTCCACCAGGTTCAGTTATTGCTGTAGGCTGGACCCAGGTTGGTGACTTTTGCCATGTTCCAGTGACGGTCGCTGGGGTGTCCTGTACAGCACTTCTGGATACAGGGTCCAATGCAATGCTGGTTCGATCTGATGTCATCCCTCCTGGAACTGCTGTGCAGGAAACTGATGTGCAGCTGAAGACAGTGACTGGTGATTTGGCTTCCATAAGAGGGAAAGGAGTGTTCCAGATTAAGGTGGGAGACCTTATTGTGACCTATACTGCCTGGGTGGCAGATGTACAGGACACATGCATCCCTGGATTAGATTTTTTACGGGCCATTGGYGGTGTGCTAGATTTGAGCAAAGGATTTCTAATACTCCCTGGAGGGAAGTCTGTAGAACTTGTCCCCCCGTCGTCAAGCCCAACCCCTACTGAAGTTTGCTTGCACTACTAAGACTCCTGCATTGCCACCAACTGAACCCAGGGTTTCCCCTACATGTAATTGATCGTCACAGCTAAATAAAAGCCACCACACTTTTGGAATGAAGTTGTTTTTTTTAAATCAATGTAAAACAGGGGTTGACACAACCATTGTTTAGGTTCTCCAAGACAACCTATTTTTGTTTCGGACAACCACATCCTGCCACCCGGTTGTCCGGTGGACAACCAAGAAAAGAAGACCTAGATTTAAAGTTGGTCATTGTAAAAATGAACGGGAGGAAAAAAAAACTTGTTAAAGCTGTCTAGGAATTAAACTGACAGTTCTTTCACCCAATAAAAAGAACCGCAGTCAAAATTTTACCCAATAAGAACAGAGCAGGGCGGGTCGTGCTGTTGGACGGACAGCGGGTGCACCCTGCTTTATTTATTTTATTTATTTTTTCCTTTCTCTGTGGGTGGGGGGTCAGTTTCCTTCCCGGGAAAACCCTCAGCGTTTCCTGGACTATTTTCCACCGAGGATTACGTTGTATTTTTATTTTCTAAAAGCACCTCGCAGTATTTCCACCGAAACACAGTGTGTTCACGAGCACAAAAAAAAAAAAAAAACCCTTGACAGATCACCTGACTGGTTTTAAAGCGATAGGCAGCAACCAGCACGGGACTTAAGAGTCTATACATGTCAACCCTTTCAGACACTTGTTACCTGTTACCCCTACTTGTTACCTGTATAATGAGCGTCAAAAATCTGTAATTTGCACAAAAAAATCAGTATTAATCACAAGCGAGTGGAGTGGAGGTGCAAGCAGACCGCAGCCGCATGGGG